TTTTAAAACATTTTAGCAGGCTAGAGGTGTTCAGAAATTTTCCTTACTGCTTAGAAATGTTGTGTACCTCAGGCTCTTGCTCCCAACGCGAGTGTTTCCTGCCAGCTACCAGTCTGTCTAATTTTTGAGAATGAATGGTGGTGGTGGTGCTCTATCCAGCAGCTCTTTTTCTGAAGTGCTCAAATGTCATACACTTCAACAAAACTGTTACCCCTCTTCCTTGGTTACATCAAGTATGGGGCAATATTTGTTTAGACAAAGGAGAAATATTATCACACATAAAATCCTAGTTTCTCTGACCTTTCACTTTGACATCTCAAGGTTCTAATAACAGACCGTAGACCATTAAAAGTGTTTAACCTTCTGATGCTAACTTACAAGAATTGTAGGTAGTGAACAGAGTTTATATACAAGTAATGCCTTGTTGTATTTGATGTATCCTAAGGAATACCATTATAGTTAAAGTCAAAAGTTGAGCTTTTGAGAGGGTGGGCTAGTTTAACACCTTATCAGTGAACTCAAACTATAGGAAAATTGCTACAGAGGAGAGTTTCACTAATGTCGAAATGGTGGAATCAACGTTGAAATGACAAAGTTTTGATATAAATTTGTTGTTGTGTGACAAAGTAGTACTTATATTTGGAGCAAGAGCCTCAGATAACACATGAGGAAGCAACAAGAAGCATTTCTAGACCACTGTGGTCTTTAAAATTAATTTTGAACAATATTTATTAATCTTTAAATGTTCAAAGCCATTTTTCAATAAAAATTGTAAAAAATAGTAAACTAGTTAGGGGGGACCCTCCACCCCTCCAGGACCTACCCTAATACAAATGCCTTTGATAAAATTCATAAAATTTAACAATTAAAATATTAGTGATCACATCTACAGGGAGACACAGTTTTTGATCAGCCTGCATAAATTATATTTGCAAAAGAAGAAAAATTACGGAATTAAGGTGATAACATTTTGATAGACAAATATGTAGTACAAGGCAGGGTCGAATTTCAGTTCAGAAGAGTGTGCAAATAAAGAAAGTACATAAATGTAAGAGTAATTTTAATCTGCAACTTCCATGTTTTCTCTTCAATCTGCCAGCAGAAAAAGAGATGTATGGAAAGTGTTACACAATTTTAATACTTCTTCAAATTTTCTACCACATCCCAATCTAGTACCTCATTTATGCACAGTAAAGACGGCTTCCGTTCCATCTCATAGAAAGACGGGTGGTACAAATTTCTCTCTCAAAGACTGTAACTGGAAATTCATTTCAACACAAACTGGTGTAGTAAATTGAAGATAACCCATTAATTTACATTACATTAAATTTTGATAAATGTATAACTACGTATCTAAAACACAGACATCCTTTTATGGATAGCAAGTAAGACCTATGTACACTCTACAAAGATGAATGTACAGAATAAACATCAAAAATTACAGTTACATGACCCTTTGGCTAGCACAACACATATTGTAGCACTGGATAGAAGTTGTATATCATTAGAAGCGCTGATTCCCGAGAGTGTAGTCGAAAGCGATTATTTAAGACCTTAACACAGCTGCAATAATGTTTAATTTCACTGACAATAAAGAAAATAATAATATTTAGCAGATAATGATAATGCTGTAGGCGCGCCAAGAACCACCTGATTTTTGCTTTCGACTTTGCTTTGAGCCCTAGTGTTTTGCTCTCGGAAATCAGCTCTTCTAATTACATACGACTAAAATAATAGTTCATTAAGTCCCTTGTTAAAGTCTATTTTCTCCCTTCAATGATATTAGTGTGTCAACCAACTACTCTAAGTCCATACACAGCCAAAATGGAATCAGCAGCTTCTGAAGAGTTTTGCCAAAACTGCAAGGTGAGTAGAAACTACTCACAACTACAAGAATATAACTTCCTGAATGCAAGGTTAAAATTCTCTTTAAATGAATGTCTTCTGAATAACATAACCCAAACTGATATCAAGCAAATTGTTAACACTTTCCTTTCACTATAATGAGCCACTAAATAAGAGAATCTTGTCTTCGACTGTGTCGCCACTCATTTCTATCGCTAAGAACTCGTCTTCCATATAGCGTGTGGAGTTCTCGGAAAGTCAATCGGCGCACATTAATATCTACAGAGGACCGGCAAGATGCACGGGAAGCAGCATCTGTTCTACCAGGTGCTGATCGCACAGAGTGTGACCTCATTCCTTCAGAGTTTGTGCGATTAAAGGGATTGTGACGTTGCCTAGGTGGTGGTTGTGGTGAGTCGCTAGCTTCCCCCCTTCTCATCTCAACCACATCTGTAGTAGGGAGAACTGGACTGCAGTCTGAAGGATCAGGAATACAATTTTAGTGTCAAATTGTAAAAGATAATTCATATGACTAGTTTATAATCTGCTCAACTTACCATCCATTTGATCCAGTTGCCTTTGTAACTCAGCAACCATTAATTTCATATAATCATACGGAGCACAGGCCAACGCTTTCATCCATTGTTCCATTGATTCTTGGGAGTCGGCAGCTAGTGAGTAAGATCGATTTCCTTGACCATGAAATACAATCTTAAAACCATACAGTTCTTCATCTTCGGCAAGTTCTGTAAAAAAGCAACCAGCAACGTAAGTATGTATTATATCTATAATTTGGGGAGATTAGTCGACATTGCACTGAAATAGAATTTACCAATGGTGCAGCCTTCAAGAACAACTAAGCCAACAGGTTCCTTCTCTCCTTTCTTTTCAAAGTAAAACAACAAATTCCCTTTTAAAACAAACCATCGACGCTGGTAAGCTTTATTAACCTCTCCCCGTTTCACCATCCATCCTTCCTTGTCAACGGGAGTAGCTGATGATGCAAAGGCTGATAAATTTTTATCATTAATCTTCATTTTCCTGCAAAAGTTACAAAATTTAAAATACATAGAAACCTTACCAACAACCAAAATATGTTGCAGAGTTAGAAGTGCTCTATGATATGTGAATCCGTAGACGAAAATAAGCGAGCTAATGTAATTGGGATGAGAAGACTACTTTAAAAACACAATTGTGCCGGAATTTTAAGGCCCAGGAGAGTTGTCAGTAAATACTAACGGGTAATGTAACAAATTTCACAGTTAGGTTATATTGAAATACAAAATTCACTCATTCCGACTAAAGAAGAGTACTGCAATAGTAGATACTGCAATTGCTTAGTTTTCCTACCTGTAAAGCGATTGTTTAACTTCAGGTGGAAAGTCTCATGTATGGCCCTTCAACGAAGATGCAAAAGTTCCAACATTTTCGGTCGGTGTTTACTTATTCAGTGAAGTAGAGGGGGGATGGGTGGTGGTGGTGAGGAAGAGGAGGGGGGAGAGGAGGAGAGGGGGTGAATGGGTAAAATGTCAGTAGAAACTTGTAGTGGGAAACATGTCAAAGAAAATAGGATTGCTAGGTCACAAAAATTGCAATAAAAGCACATATTTTTGTGTATCATATTTACTGTTCACAAACAATTGTAACAACATAAAAAGGCCACTTTTCTCTAGTGAAATATAAACATCTTGTACAATAAATAGTTTGCCTAAAAAGGCCTTCTTAAAATCATGTGGAAAACGACAGCAATATCTGGGGTTTTAAAGCATTTCATGAAAATGGCTATAAAATCATTCACCTACAATTTATTCAGAAGAATCTTATTGCCGACAGATCAATACTTAATCAGTTATTAGGGTTACACAAAGGTCTTTGGAGAACTTTTGGGAGCAGCAACATTTCAATTAATTTTCAAGAAAGAAGATGAATCAAACCTCTTAGTTCCAAAATAATCAAGTACGTTCTTAGATCCAATTTTTATTAAGTATTTTTTTTTTAATTGTTTAGAAAACCCAGTCTTCATAAACTTACACTAGACCACCCAGCCTGAACTTTACATAAAAAATAACATCATTGAACAATGCATAAATCATCTATAAATGTAAACTACACAAAAATCAGGCACTGAAAGACATAAAATGAACAGACTTGAAATTTGTCTAGTGTTGCATCTCAACTATGTACCTGTTGGTTATGGGATAATATGATCAACTCCATTATCAGTGTTGTTAAAGAACTGATACAACCCTTGCAAGATGTTTTCAAAAAAACCACGAAGGATATAGAGACAATTTTCTTCAAAGTACATTTACATAGCACCATATAGGATTTTGTTTCTTACCAACAGCAAAATTCTAATGATTATTTGTACTACGTCAGGAGGTCAACAAAAAGAACAATAATTTCTTCAGTGGGGAATTGATGCCACTCAGCACAAAGGTTGTAGTTTTTGTCAGTCAACAAATAGCTGTTAGTTATTAGTACAGTACCATGTGCCCTTCAAGAGTTGATATGACTTCATAATTAATCAAAATCTAAAATCCGGCAACAAAATAGTTTTCCAATCGAAAAAGGGAAAGCTACTTTTGGGGAGACAAGAAATAAGGCAAGACAAAGCATCAGACTATGAGGCTGAACATTGCAATTAGAAATATTTGACAAGCACAGAACTTCAAATACTGTTCTAACAAAAGCTCATCATTTTTTGCCAAGCTAAATATGCCTGCCTATTAAAAAAAATCAATAAGTCCAAATTTTTAAAAAGTCTAGAGAAAAAAATATTTTCTTGCCTTAACTTGTGATATTAAAAAAATGAACAAATTAGGGGGAGGAAAATCAGTCTAATTAGCCCTACAAAGGCATTGTAGCAATAGCAAAATTTGTGATGTACGCAGAATGATGAGAGCAAAAGCTCGTCAACTGAATTATTGCCATATGAAGAAAGATCTACAGTAACAGTGCTTCGATTAAGATGAAGCCTCAAACCTCTAGGCAACATATCAATGGTTACAACCTAGAAACAGTTTAAGCCCCTATTTCCAACATGTATCATAAAACAGATGTTTATTTGTCAACACAACAAACATCTAAGTAAAGTATGTTTCATTAATACAAATGCCAGCTAAATCTATAACATAAATTAAATTTGTACCTTCACAATGATTGATAAGTTAAATATAAAGTGACGGGGGTTCAAAATAAATGTCATTACTCTTAAAAGACCACTAAAACAAACTTGAAAGAAATGCCAGAGGAAACACACTACAATTAAAACCTAATCAACAAATACTATTTTGCAGCTTAGATAAATTTAATCTTTACCGTCTCCATTATTTCTTCAAGAATACTACGCCAAGTGATGAACTTAGAGCACAAATAATAAGAGAAAAAAGATTAGAAAAAAACTAAAATGTTACCAAACATTGATTTTGCTAGCTTGATGTTGTGGGATTGACTTTAGTACAAATTTCCCTTATTTTAAAAATTAGAATAATTTGAAAATATATGCAATAAATAAGCTTTGGCAGGCTGTGCTTTGTGATAAAGGCATACTTTTAGGAGCTACAGTATCTGGAAAGCAGACCTCAAGAGATGATGGTAGAGACACAAAAAAATAGCATTGAAAATGGCTCAGAGTGCTAAGTAGGTAAATAAAGCTTGAAGATAACTAACCATATGCAACTAAGGGTAAAATGATTATTACATATTAGTAAGCTGGAAGCATGTGATGAATAACTTTCAAAGGCTACATAAATGTACTATTACAAAGCATTGACGCACATTTTGTGGTATCATACATAGATGAAGTTAGGACTACAAAATAATGCATAACTAGCAGCACCTAATACACAGCACCCACAGAGTTAATAACCGGATTTTTCATTTTTTTTTCAATGGATGTAGAGATGATTGGTATCTAACTAAAATATGTCGACAAATTGTTTTAGAGACCTAACCTCACAGTTTCAAAGGTCAATCCACAGCCTCGTAGTAAGACCTTTAGAAGTCAGCCAAATTGTCAGTTCACTGATTTAACTAAATTGATGAGGATTCAAATATAAAAGGAAAGGGAACAATTTACAGGTAGCTGATTTCATCAACTTAATCAAAAGGCAACAGAAAGTAAAACAGTCCTCAACAAAAAAGAAACAGATGAGAACGTATGTCTAGAGCAAAAGTGAATTGAAATGATAAAGACATAAGTCAAGAATAAATGGTACAGAGAAGAAGTTCTTCTAAGGTCACAAATAAGACAAAGCTAGAGTTAAAATCATGTCAAAGGCAGATAATCTTTAGTTTCATTCCACCTCCTTTCTTTCAATTAAGAATGAATCTTTGCAGACAGAGGGCAAAACAAAACTGCCTGAAACATACAACACAGCATCCTAAAACAAAGATTTTTAAAAAGACAAAAGAAACTACTGGTAAATTAATTCATTTGGCAGTCAACAAATATCTACCTACACCTACAAGGACTCCACAACAACAACAAAAAAGAAAGAGTTAAAATATACTATTATACAAAAGCCTAACAAAGGGGAACAATCTGAAAAAGTAAAACCATGTGGCTTCTACAGTCAATGCTATATTGAAGAAAAAAATAAAAATAAAATATGTACTTAAGCATTTCTGTCCACTCGATCCAAAACAATAGCAAGAGAAACAAAGATATACTTCTATACACAAAACAAAGTGTACCACTATCAGTGGTATTGTAAACTCATAATATAATTTCTGGACCTTAATGTAAGTGCTGTACTCAACGGTGATATATTTATGTACTCCTACATTGCAATATGAAATAAACAAATACTAACCAAACCTCAAGTATTGCCAATATCGCTTGAGTCTTTGGTTTTTTTAAACTCAGACATCAATGGTTTAACAGTATCATTTAGGCTTGCACAATCAGAGGGAAGTGTTTTCTCCTCTAATGCCACGGACAGATTACGAACAGCATTATTCTCTTTCAGCCTTGAAGTTGAGCTGGATGAGCTGGAACTACTTCCATGCTTGTCTCTATGCTTACTGCTACTCCTGCTGCTACTTGATTTAGATTTACTGCTGCTTTTGGAACCGTCTACTTGGCTTTCTTTGCTACTGTGCTTGCTTTCTTTATGCTTTTGACTACTGCTACTGCTGCTCCCATGATGCTTAGAGCTAGAACTCACTTTATGATCTTTGCTGTTGGTATGTTTACTAGAATTTGAGCTCGGTAAGGAAACACTTTTGTGTATCTTATCCACTGGCTTAGGCTCTGATGGGACACAAACACCATTGAAAGAGGCATTACCATTTTCAGTGGTTGATTTAATAAAATCTTTTTTAACAGGGATTGTTTCCAATCCTCCGTTGGACTGACTACCTTTGCAAGACTTATCGCTTTTCTTGTCGAAAACTTTTTTTTCTTTCTTATCCTTGTGAGACGTTTTCTTATGATCTGACCTTACATCTGGGGAAGATGATGATCTTCGACGAGGTTTCTTGCGGGGTGAAGAATTTTCCTCATCACTTGATGTTTCACTCAAGACAAAATCAGAAGACATAGGTTGATGTGATCTCATAGGTTGGTCGGGCAAATCTTTCTTCTCTCTAAAAATATGGCAGTTGTTAACTCCAGTGACTACTCTTGAGTGTTTAATGTCTTGACTCAATAGAGACTCTGGATAATATTGACTCAGGCGGACATGCCATGCTAAAAGTAGATTACATCAGATCAGATTAGGTTGGAATAAATTTAGAAGAATAAAACAGGATATAGTAAGAACATACCAATGCTTGTCACAGCAGTTACTGTTCGAAACTGATGAATGATGTTGCGTGGTAAGAAATAAATGTCATTGTCATACAGTTGGATTCGGGCATATCGTATACCCTCTCTTCGCAGTTGATTCAATTTAGCATCCTCCACCCATTGCACACACTGAAACCAACATTTAAAATTAAGGAAATAGCCTTTCTTTCAAAGTACCAAAATAATAATAATTGACTGAAATAAATAGAAACCACAAATACCAGGACACTCACCTGTGATATAGGTGGTTCATGAAGGTCAAGTTGCAATTTTTCCACAAGGTCAGGGAAATCTGCAGCATAGAACGCTACAACATCTTTTGTGACTCGATTCTGAGGGCTTGGAACGCCACAATGCACAGCCTTTAAAATACCTAGTGCCCACAACAAAAAATATTTGTTATTATACTTGCATACATGTTTACCGTTAGCACAATGGTTGGATCAAAACGCTGAACCTAAATTAATTTGAATTACATACCAACTGCAGCCGTAGTCATTCGATCCAGTCCATGACCCACATGGTCTGCATGGGCTTTGGTACGATCTTCAAACATGTACTCTCTTGCTTCAGAAAGACGCGGCAAGTACTGGAGGTTTCTTAGCTCATTGATACCCGTGCGTTTTCGTTTAAACGGGGACTTTGCAGGCATATCAGCTGTTGGCACAAGCTGTTCACCTGGTCTTATCCATAAGATTGGTCCGTCATTAGACTCTAAAGGGGATTCCATTTGGACCACAGACAAAGGACCCCAAGGCATAGTCTAGTAACAAAAGAAAAAGCTCGTCAACTGAGTTAAACAATTT